TCAAATCCGGCATTACTCAAACTTATCAAAGGAGAATTCAGTCAATCGTCTGTTAGTACAGTAGTACTATCAACACAGTTTCTAGGAGACCAGACCATGGCAGCCACAAAAAGCAGCGAATCTCCTACCCTACCCCTTTGCAGTTCCACTCCTTATTACCCATACCTAGCCTTATCATGTCTTGAATTAAGAAAAGATGCTGGGGAAAGTAAATATATCTGGGAAGGCAGACCTGTTATTGCCTTGGCTTGCTTGTTCTCATCTGTATCAGAAATTGAACCTGGTCATCTATTCCTGATACAGAGTCTCTCTGCATGTAGTAAAAGATGTTAAAGTGAGAGAGCACAAAAACTTACAGAAAAAGTGAACAACCTTGTTTTTTTGGAAGGCCATAAACTGCACAGCTGAGATTTTGAAGTCTGGAAACCTGACTATTATAAGTTGAATGCAAATATGTGCTGTACTGTTGTAATTTTTGATGTGCAATGTAATTCTGTGGTAATCTGGTAAATTCAGGTGCGTGTCCCAGATGGTCAGCATCTGTGGCAAAGTAAGCTCAGGCAGAATTTGATACACAATATCACACTGTTGAAACTTGGAGATCAGCTCCTTGATGAACTTTCGTTTTCTAGGAGAAACGCTTTATATTCTACAAAACCCTGAGAGGATTTTACAATCATTCCACATCTGAGTACATTCACACAACACTGCTGCCACAGGTACAGTTCACATGGTCATCCTCCGCTTCTTCAGCTAACAACTCATTTTCTGCACTATCAGATATGGAACAACCAGCACGGCTTTACCAAGGGCAGGTCCTGCCTGACCAAACTTGTTGCTTTTTATGATGGTGTGACTGTGTTGGTGGACAAGGGAAGAGCAACTGATGTCGTCTGTCTGCACTTTAGTAAGGCCTTTGACACGATCCTCCCTGAATATCCTTCTCTCCAAGTTGGAAAGATATGGATTTGATGGGAGGACTGCATGATGGATGAAGAAGTAGTGATGAGATCGTACCCAGAGAGCGGTGGTCAATGGCTCAGTGTTCAGACGGATACCAGTGGTGGGTGGTGTCTCTCAAGAGTCAGCACTGGGACCAGTGATCTTTAACATCTTAATAAATGACATCAGTGGTGGGATGGAACGCACCCTTGGCAAGCTGGAAGATGACACCAAGCTGCCTGGTGCAGTCCACATGTCCAAGGGATGAGATGCCATCCAGACAGATCTAGACAGGCGCTAGAAGTGGACCCAGGTGAACCTGATGAGATTCAACAAATCCGAGCGCACGGACTTGAACCTGGCTTATGGTAACCCCCGCTACCAGTGCAAGCCGGGAGATGTAAGGACAGAGCACAGCCCTGCTGAAGAGGACGTGAGAGTACTGCTGGATGGTAAGCTGAACATGAGCCAGCAATGTGCCTTCCCTGCTCAGTAAGCCAACCATATCCTGGGCTGCACCAAAAGAAGTGTGGTCAGCAGGTCAGGGGAGGTGTGCTGCCCATCAGAGAGTAAGAAATAAGGACGTGCCTCGTTGTGTTTCTATTCAAAGGCGCATAAAAGCTCTGGGAAGATTTGCTGAGATATGCTGGAAGAGATTAACTTTATTGTATACAATTTTTGCCATGGCACTTGGAAGAAAATTCTTCAGTCTGTCGCACCAAATGACCTTTGATAATCTCTTTGATACTCCTCTCTTAAAAACTTTTTCCATTCCACTTTTTTCTAAAAGCATGTCCTAATGATCATTAAATTTTCTATGAAATATTGGAATTTATGGCCATAGATTTCCACAGTGAAGTGCAACAGACAGGTACACTTTGGTGTGCCTGTAAAAAGCAACAACAACAGAAACCACCCAGTGTACGTAAAATAAAATTTCTAGGAAGCTGATAGTGGTAGAAAAAGCAAGGGTGGAATTCTTTGTCAAAAGAGGCAGACTGAAGGTTGATGTAAGACCAGAAGTTTGGGCTAATATGCCTAGACTACAATAAATGAACAAATCTCCCTTTCAAAGCTCGCAGAAATAGAGGGAAAGTTTCCAGACTATAAACTATGACTCTGAAGGATTTCCGTGGTAGTTATTGGGAATAAATGAAGTTCATTATCTTCAAGCGCTCCAGTAGTTTTGAGGATTCATCTGCAGTTCTGCTGAGAGACTTCAGTGGGTGACAGCATAACACTACTTAAGGTGGTTATAATACTTGTTGAGGCCCAGCCAAAGACTGGGTCTCAACAAAGACTGGGTGCTGTATGCTGTACCCAGCAGCATCCAGAAGAGAAAGCACCGGAAAAAGGAAGAGCGGAATCACTTGGTGACCTGGTGCTTCTGCCTAAGACTGATTTCAGCCTCTGCTTCATTTCCCTTTAGAAATCTCCTGACTCTAAATGCGTGTTTATGGATTTATCTTCCAGGAACTTTTTCAGTCTCCCAGTCAGCCAACGTCAAATGTTAAGACTCGCATCAGTTTGGGCAAGGTCTTTGGCATTTGCTCTTGCTTCATTTGCATCCCATTCCTGCCTGACAAAAAGAGTGAACAGCTTCCGTCCATTTTCATTTACACTATTCAAAATCTTGCTTTTCTTCAATTCAAGCTTTTCTGAGTTGTTTTTCTTTCACAAGGGAAAGCCGCAAATGATTTGTTAGTTCAGGATACAGAAATCACCCACTGATGCCTTACCGAAGGATATCAAAATACATTTAGAGAGTCCAATAAAGTTGTCCGCTATGTGAGCAAATCTCAATTAAATTACAAATAAATAAATGTATTTAATGTACAATGTACAATTAAATACATGCAGTAATCAGCAATGTGCAGTGCCCTGGTAACTTGAGGCGGGACAGATTTGTAGAGATTTAGCCAGATCAATACACACAGTTAGAGTTTATTCGGAGTACGCTGAGTTTTCTGTGATAATTTGTGTTCATTTTACCACGCAGAATTTAGTAAGTGCCGTAGCACTTTTTGTCTCTGTTTTCCTTTGTGTGCCGCATAGTTTACCCGAAACCACAGCACGAGGCTGAGTACAGATTTCAGGACAGAGGAACTTGATTGTCAAGATAATCTGCGCGATATTTTTCTCCTGTTCCAAACCCCTGGCAATACACGTCCTGCTGTGAGAATTTGTCTTCTACTTCATTTTCTCTTCACTACACAACTACCAATCTTATTTTTCATCACTTACTAT